CTTCTTCTTTCTTTCTTCTTCTTCTTCCTTCTTTCTTCTTCTTTCTTCTTCTTTCTTCTTTCTTCTTCTTCTTCTTTCTTCTTCTTTTCTTTCTTCTTTTCTTTCTTCTTCTTTCTTCTTCTTTCTTCCTTCCTTCTTCTTCTTCTTTCTTCCTTCTTCTTCTTCTTTCTTCCTTCTTCTTCTTCTTCTTCCTCCTTCTTCTTCCTCCTTCTTCTTCTTCCTTCTTCCTCCTCCCCCTCCTCCCCCTCCTTTCTTCTTTCTTCTTTCTTCTTTCTTCTTTCTCCTCCATTCTGGCTGTTCTATAATTCCCACAACTCTTTCCTTCTCATTCTGATTCTGATTCTGAAACAGAGCGATTCTTGCAGAATAGTCAGTAAATTAAACTTGATCCTTTAACGGAGCACTTTGCGGAGAAATAGCTGTTGATATGCTCTGGGAAAGTGAGCTGATGTTGTACTTGAAACCTCTAAGCCTCTAAAAGGAATAGTAACAGACTAGTGCTACAGATAATTCCAGCTCAGTTTCCAAAGCCCAGACAAGATAGCTTTTAGGTACCTAAACCCTAGTGTGTTCACTTGTTTTCCTTCAGAGGATCCTTTTGATGTGTACTGGAGTTAGAATCCCAGATCTGACTTACAGAAATTATCAATTCTATCCTGTGTTCTGGACCCCCGGTCCCCAACTACTTTGCCAATCAAGAGTCTTAAAATAATCTGTGCTCTTCACTGTGAATTTGTCTGATGATCATTAATAAAGTGCGCATTTAAAATGTGAGGTAAAAGGTTATCAAAGCACAGATTCAAAATGGAATCAAGGCCTGATAATGTTTTTAGACTTTGATTCTCCTTCACTTGTAAATTTGGCCTTCTGAGGGATTTGCATGGCTCCTTTTTTTGAGATGGAGTTTGACTCTTGTTGCCCAGGCTGGAGTGCAGTGGCATGAACTTGGCTCACTGCAACCTCTGCCTCCTAGGTTCAAGCCATTCTGCTGCCTCAGCCTCCCGAGTAGCTGGGGTTACAAGCACCCGCCACCACGTTAGCCTAATTTTTTTATTTTTAGTAGAGACGGGGTGTCGCCATGTTGACCAGGTAGGTCTCAAACTCTTGACCTTAGGTGATCGGCCCACTTCGGCCTCCCAAAGTGCTGGGATCACAAGTGTGAGTCACAATGCCTGGGCTTTGTGTGGCTCTTGTACCCACTTAGTCCTCATAACCAGCCTGCTACATCAAGTAATTATCTTTCCAACATTCTTAGTTTGGAGGATTAAACAAAGCTTTTATGTTCTGTTCAATGAAGTAGTTTTAAAAAGAAGAGAAAGGGCAAAGTGCAGTGTCTCACACCTGTAATCCCAGCACTTTAGGAGGCCGAGGTGGGCAGAGGTCAGTTCCAGACTAGCCTAGGCCAAAATGGCGAAACCCCATCTCTACTAAAAATGCAAAAAAATTAACTGGTCATGGTAGCAGGTGCCTGTAATCCCAGCTACTCAGGAGGCTGAGGCAGGAGAACAGCTTGAGCCCTGGAAGCGGAGGTTGCAGTGAGCTGAGATCATGCCATTTCACTCCAGCCTGGGCAACAGAGCAAGACTCCATCTCAAAAAAAAAAGAGAGAGAGAGAGAGAGAAAGGACCACTGAAAAGGGAAGTGTCATGACACTGCTATCTATATTTACATTTCCCTTATTCATGTATGCGACTAATAAATGCCAGTGGCTTGCCTTTATGTTTGTAGGAGCTTGAGTGCCTCCAGGACCATCTGGATGACTTGGTGGTGGAGTGCAGGGATATAGTTGGCAACCTCACCGAGTTAGAATCAGAGGTAAGTGGTATGCAGCTTACTCATTGGAAGAGAGTGGCTGCCAGCAGCCTGGCATTTTGTGCTTGGTTCTACTGTTTCTAGATTCCTGAGAGTGCAGATTCTCTGTCAATCAAAAGAAACCTATCAGATTCTCCCTATTTGCTTTATAAAGAAGTATATTGTGGTGCTTTGTGAACTCCTTCCCTCATTTCTCTAGAACAACATTCTATACAGCCCTTTGGTTTCCTTCATAAATGAGATATATCACAGTCATTAGACCTGCCTTTGTTTCCCCCTTAAGATAGCAGCTGCACTTCAAATCACTTAATCACATTCAAGAGCAATCTACAGATTCCCATTCTCCTATCCTGTGCTCTTAGGTCATTTGGTAGTATTTGTGTGTTTCAGAGCATAAAAGCTGGGGACTTCCAGTAAACATGAAGATTGAATACAGATGTTTATCCCTGTTCCATCCTGAAACTCCCTAAAATATTAAAAATGGGATTAGAAACCCTTATAAAGCACTGGCACATTATTTAGAAATTCAGAAGAGGGCAGCTAAAAATGTTACAGTTGTTTTGTGAGGGCAGAAATCAGAGAAGTGGGGAACTACATTTTGTCGTAAACCTTTTAGTACTCTTTGAATTGTCGTAATTGGCATTATGTAAAATTACATTTCTCAACCAATTCCTTTTGCTTTCTAGTTTTCAGAAGTTGGTTGCCTTCTCTCATTTTGTCATCTCTCACATTATCATTGTCATCATGGACTTACAAGAACAGTCTGGGGTATATGGCTCTTTAAAGGAAGGTGTTCTTTCAGGAGCTAGTGCTACATGGGTTTTTCTGCTTAAAGGCATTATTAGTCTGTGTTCAGCAGAAACAGTGGTTTGGCATCTGCTTTGAGGGCAGTGCTCTGGCTTATGAGCTTATAAACTGAAGATGGATATCAGTTACCACAATTTTCATTTTGAACTGCTTAGCATTTTGGAAAAATCTCCAGAAGCTTTGCATACTCTAATGTCATTACTAAATTTGTTTTTACCTCACTTTTCTTAATTCTGCCTTCTCATTTGTTCAGGCAGAAAGGGAATATGCCTCTAAAAATTTGCCTTTCAAAGTATAACAGAGGAGCAGTTCTTTATTTATTCTCGGGCTCTCTACCTCAAATACTAGAATCGTTTCCAAAAGTACATATTATATTATTTGCCCATCAAATATTACTGATTCAGAAAGAGAAACTGCTTCTCCTCCATCCTGGCTCTTTCTAAAGCAGAATTATTAACATATTTAATCTTCTACAGGATATTCAAATAGAAGCCTTGCTGATGAGAGCCTGTGAGCCCATAATTCAGAACTTTTGCCACGTAAGTGATGTCTGGAGGAATAAGGGTTAAAAACATAAACAGATTCACAGGGACTCTGCCCTGAGTATCTCGGACTCATCTCTGTCTTCAGCATATATTACTCTTGAATGATAGCCAGCTTTGACAAGTTAAAATTTAAAATGTAAACAGGCCGGGTGTGGTGGCCAATACCTGTAATCCCAGCATTTCGTATCTAGGAGAGTGGGTAACTTGAGCCTAGGATTTCAAGACCAGCCTGGGCAACCTCGCAAAACTCCATCTCTACAAAAAATTAGCTGGGCGTGGTGGCACGCGCCTGTAGTTCCAGTTACCCGGGGGCAGAGGTGAAAGAATCACTTGAGCCCAGGAAGTCAAGGCTGCGGTAAGCCTTAAATGCGCCACTGCACTCCAGCCTAGGCAACAGAGTGAGACCCTGTCTCAAAAAAAAAAGTAAACAAGATCAAGAGAGAGGTGCCATCATCCTGCAGCCATGTTTGATTAGCCTTTGCAGGTAAGCAGGTATATGGCTACCAGCAGTTATTGAGATGCCTTTTTTTAAGAAGAGATGGAACAGCGAAGCCCCCATTAGTATGGCAGAGTTGATTCCAGTTCATCAGCCTAGGAACTGTTAGCATCAGCCCAGGAATTGTTAGCAGTAATAGTTGCTCTTCCTTCCAGTTGTCTCCTAGTACCTCAATATTGACCGAATTCTGATTATTTCATATTCATTTATTGAACTGCTTAAATTACAGGACTGAAACATACCCAGGAACCACTGGGATCTGACAGTTGGGAGACTATATCAGAGATTATCCCAAAAGCTAGGTGCTGACATCATACAAGAAAAGTTTAAAAAAAAAAAAAAAAAGCGTATAGTCTTGTCTCATGCAGAACATGCCACTGAATGTATACCTTTGTGATTTCTCAGGCTTATTTTTGATACAATTTATGGTGTGTCTTTTTTTTTTTTTTTTTTTTTTTTTTGTGAGGGCCTCTAGAATCAACCCTGCTTGCATTTATTTAGGACTGGGCCAAATAAAGCTTTGTTCATTAATTGTTACCAATGAAGTGTAAATGTGTGCTGTCTTCCCCAGGATGTGGCAGATAACCAGATAGACTCTGGGGACCTGATGGAGTGTCTGATACAGAACAAACACCAGAAGGACATGAACGAGAAGTGTGCCATTGGAGTCACCCACTTCCAGCTGGTCAGTGACATCTAGCTGCCGATTTCCCATCATAGCTGCCTGGATGGTGACTGAATCTCTTTATTTTTTGGAACATCAGAGGACCTCTGATGTTCTGTTAAAAACCATTTTTTCCAGCTGGGTGTGGTGGCTCATGCCTATAATCTCAGCACTTTGGGAGGCCGAGGTGGGTGGATCACTTGAGGTCAGGACTAGCCTGCCTAACTAGCCTCCCCCATCTCCACTTAAAATACAAAAAAATTAGCCAGACGTGGTAGCATGTGCCTGTAATCCCAGCTACTGGGAAGGCTGAGGCAGGAGAATCACTTGAACCTGGGAGGCAGAGGTTGCAGTGAGCTATCACACCTCACTGCACTCCAGCCTGGGCGACAGAGCAAGACTCTGTAGGTAGGTAGGTAGGTAGGTAGGTAGGTAGTTAGGTAGACAGATGACAAGAGTCTGTCTCCGGATGGATGGATGGATGGATGGATGGATGGATGGATGGATGGACAGACGGACTCTGTCTCCAGATAGAAAGATACATATATATATATATAGAGAGAGAGAGAGAGAAAACGCACTCAAGACTCTGCAGATGGATGGAGGATGGACAGATGGAGAGAGAGAGATGGCGATGCCCTGTCTCCAGAAAGAGAAAGATAGATAGAGAGACTCTGTATTCAGATAGATAGATAGATAGGTATAAATAGATAGATTAGATTAAGATAGATATAGAGAGAGAGATAGATAGCCAGCCAGCCCACCCACCCAGAGCTGACATTTGAGTAAGATAGTTTGAGCTTTTTATAGTTACCACATGTAACTACAGGAAGTATTTCTGGTATAGCAAGAGCTTCCTTCGGAGGAAGATGAAATCTGGTCAGCTGTGTTAATTGACCCCTTGTTAGGGCACACAGCCTGCCTGACTGTGCATTGAGCAAGTGTTGTTGAGCGCCTCTGAAGTCGAGGCACTGGGGGACAGTGGTGAGATGGATAAGCCCCTTGCCCTTGTGGACTCTAGATTCTAGTAAGAGAAGATGCAAAAACAAGCGTGCAAATAAATGGATAGTCTTAGGTGGTTCTAGAAAAAAAAGCAGAATAAGGGGCTAGAGGGTGAAGAAGAAAGGGGGCTCCATAAAGAGGTACTTGAATAGAAACCTCAAAGAATAGCAGAGCAAACCATGCAAAGGACCGAGAGAAGAGTAATTTAGACAGAGGGAACAGCATGTGTGTGATTGGAATAACCGTGAAGCCAGTGTGCCTCTTGTGGGGGAATACTGGAGAGATTGGCAGGTTGTGGTGTCTCAGGTGTGGAGCAAGCCACACAGGGTCTTGTTAAACAGACTTGTGAGAGCTGTATGAAACACGTCCCCTACCACTACTGACTACAACTTGCCACAGAACTTCCAACTTTCTTTTCACCCTTCAGGTGCAGATGAAGGATTTTCGGTTTTCTTACAAGTTTAAAATGGCCTGCAAGGAGGATGTGTTGAAGCTTTGCCCAAACATAAAAAAGAAGTATGTAGATTTTAATTGTTTTCATTCCACTTTCCCAAAGTCCCTGTTAGCTCCTGAATGAATGTGTGAGATGTCAGGCAGCCCTCCTGCTACCTGGTGGGGTTGGGTCTGGGGGCCTTCTGCTCTCTCCTTTGATACTGTGGCAAACACTTGGACTGTCTGGACAGAGCATCTGGCAGTGGTAGGTGTCACGCGGAGATCCCATAGGCTAAAGGAGCATTTTTAATTGTTCCAGGTAAGGCCATCTGACTGATGAAGCAGGGATGGATTGTGTGCTTAGAGAAGCAGGGTGCAATGTGAGTGAAAGAGGCGAATTGACTTCTTCCCTGCATCATCCCATTATGTCATCTCTTCTAAGATGCAGCAGTTTTTGTACTTGGTTACTTAGTGACGAAACAGAATCTTTATTCATTTAAGAGTTAGGTCTTGGCCAGGCGCAGTGGCTCACACCAGTAATCCCAGCACTTTGGGAGGCCGAGGCAGGCGGATCATGAGGTCAAGAGATCAAGACCATTCTGGCCAACGTGGTGAAACCCCACCTCTTAAAAAAATTTTGTACCAGTGGATGAATGCTTTGTTTAAAAAAAAATTAGGCCTTAATGAGGAAATTGATAAGCTTTTTCAGCATGGCTGCCCAAATTCTTCCACGTTGATCTTTGAAAGGCACATTTCTAGAGCACTTGCCCTCATATAAACCAAGTTCCCAGTTTGCTCAGGTTTCTCTGCCTTTCAGGAGCAAGTTTCATGGCAGGCCAAAGGCACAGTCCTGGAGTTAAGAGCAGCATTCCTCTGTGGTCAGATGTGTTTAACAGAAGTGTGTTGAACTGTCCTTGCACACATGTGCCCTCTCTGGCTCAGGAATGTAGTCAGCGTTCAGGCTGCTGCCTGCCTTTCATGACACCCACAGTCAAATTGCACCCTTTAGCACCCTGAAAAAAACATGCATACAGCAAAGACATTCCCCAAAAGGGCATCCTGAATTCTTAGTTAATGGTATGACCACTGTCCCAGCGAGGCTCTCAGGTCATCTGCCCTTGTGTGGCTTCAGCTAGCTTTAAGCTTCTCCTTTCACTCACAGGGTGGACGTGGTAATCTGCCTGAGCACAACCGTGCGAAACGACACTCTGCAGGAAGCCAAGGAGCACAGGGTGTCCCTGAAGTGCCGCAGGCAGCTCCGCGTGGAAGAGCTGGAGATGGTAATGCCTCCCAGCCTCTGCTCCCAGAAACCACAGAGGGCCAGGGCTTGGAAAGCTGGGGAGAGGCTAGGACAAAGGGGAGGCTTTTTAGCCACTACTGTGAGGGTTAAGACTTGAAGTCTTGTGCTAAAGTTTCACCATACGACCATTAGCTTGCTGTGTCATTCTTTTTATTTTGATTGATAAAACCTTTCTTAACACACATGACAAGAAGTCCAACTGTAAGACAGGCTCTAATTAAGCATGTGATCCAGTCGCTGGATCAATAATGTCCTTGGGGGCTGGGCACAGGTGGCTCACGCAGATAATCTCAGCACTTTGGGAGGCCAAGGCAGGTGGATTGTTTAAGGTCAGGAGTTCAAAACCAGCCTGGCCAACATGAAGAAACCCTGTCTCTACTAAAGGAGATTTGGGCCAGCATGGTGTGGCTCATGCCTGTAATCCCAGCATTTTGGGAGGCTGATGCGGTCGAATCACTCAAGGTCAGGAGTTCAAGACTAGCCTGGCCAACATGGCAAAATCCCAACTCTACCAAAAAGACAAAACTTAGCCAGGTGTGGTGGCACACGCCTATCATGCCAGCCACTCAAGAGACTGAGGCAGGAGAATTGCTTGAACCCAGGAAGCAGAGGTTGCAGTGAGCCAAGACCATGCCACTGCACTCCATCCTGGGTGACAGAGCAAGACTCTGTCTCAAAAAAAAAAAAAAAAAGAAAAAAAACTTGTTTCAAGCTGGAAGGTTCAGTTCTCTAACTTTGAATCTAGCTCTTTAATTAAAGTAATAATAAAAGTAGAACCCTATATTTATATAGTGGTTTTGACTTTCCAAGTGATTTTCACATCTCGCAGAAATCCTTTGCAGGACTAGATATGGTGTTTCAGTGTAGACATGACATTCTATTTTGCAAAGAAGGTCCAAGACCATGCAGCCAGTTGGTGACAGAATTGAAAGTAAAGCCTGATTCTCTTGCTGCAAGGCTACTTTGCTGTGTAGAAGCCAGGGTCACTAGACAAGATGCAGTCACCAAATAAGTCTATAGAACATTTGACATCTCCACCCTAAACCAAGCTCACCTTTCCATGCTGGCTCCCTCATGCAGACAGAGGACATCCGCCTGGAGCCAGATCTGTATGAAGCCTGCAAGAGTGACATCAAAAACTACTGTTCCACCGTGCAGTATGGCAATGCTCAGGTAACTTTTTGCTTTTGTTTATTTATTTATTTATTTATTTAAATTTTTTTAAATTTATTTTTATTTTTATTTTTATTTTTGCTTTTATTTTTAAATTGTAAAATAATTTGAAGGTAATATTTAATCTTTCCTCAAAAGCTGGTGCCCAAAAGAGGGTTACTTTGTAGTCATTAAGTTTTTGCAGTTAAGACAGGACCCATCTCATCCCATCCAACCTAATCATCCATTCTTAAACTACACCCGGCTGCTTTTTCCAGAGTTCTTCACCTTCACTCCTCTCTAATTCATTTTCTTCCCTTTTCCAGATTACCTCATCCTTCCCTACCTTGTCTGCCTGGTAAACTCTTAATGATCCTGCAGATGCCACCTCCTCTGTAGCATTCCCAGTGCTCTGCACCTCCAAAATTAACCATTTTCTCATTGTGTTCCCATTGCACAGAAGTTCCTAATTAGAGGTCACATCAGAATCACCTAGGACACTTTTTTTTTTAATACACAGAAACAAAACCCTATCCAGCTGGGCGCGGTGGCTCAAGCCTGTAATCCCAGCACTTTGGGAGGCCGAGGCGGGTGGATCACGAGGTCAAGAGATCGAGACCATCCTGGTCAACATGGTGAAACCCCGTCTCTACTAAAAATACAAAACATTAGCTGGGCATGGTGGCGCGTGCCTGTAATCCCAGCTACTCAGGAGGTTGAAGCAGGAGAATTGCCAGAACCCAGGAGGCGGAGGTTGCGGTGAGCCGAGATCGCGCCATTGCACTCCAGCCTGGGTAACAAGAGTGAAACTCCATCTCAAAAAAAAAAAAAAAAAACCTATCCAGAATTGCCAGGAGTGAAATACAAACAAGTGATTTTTAAAAAAAATGTTCTCATTGTGACTCAACTACCTCTTCTAGTCAAGGGCCATGGGGCTCTAGCCTTTGAGATAATTACTTCATTGTCCTCTTGTATCTACTGTTGCCGATGGAAAGTCAGATGTCAGTTTGTGTCTCATTGCTTTGTAGTTAATCTATTTCTGATAGGTTTTAGAGTCTTTGCTTTATCTGTAGTGATCTGTAATTTCACTGTGATGTGATTAGGTATGGTTTTTGTTTTGCTGTGTTCATCCTGGTTGGCTCCTTCAGTCTCACAATCTATGTCTTCTTTCATTTCTGGGATAGTCTCAATTATTGCTCTGTCACATGCTGCTTTCGCTTTTCTTCCTTCTGGAACTCCTGTTTTAGACAATTGGAGCATCTGAGTCCATCTTCCATGTCTCTCTCTTTTTTTGAGACAGAGTCTCTTGCTTTGCCAGGCACCAGGCTGGAGTGCAGTGGTACAATCTCGGTTCACTGCAATCTCCAACTCCTGGGTTTAAGCAGTTCTCCTGCCTCAGTCTCCCAAATAGCTGGGACTACAGGCATGCGCCCCCATGCCCAGCTAATTTTTGTATTTTTTAGTAGATATGGGGTTTCACCATGTTGGCCAGGATAGTTTCAATCTCTTGACTTTGTGATCCATCCACCTGGGCCTCCCAAAGAGCTGGGATTACAGGCGTGTGCCACCGCGCCCAGCCCCCATTTTCTTTTTTTTTTTTTTTTTTTTTAGACGGAGTTTCACTCATGTTACCCAGGCTGGAGTGCAATGGCGCGATCTCGGCTCACCGCAACCTCCGCCTCCTGGGTTCAGGCAATTCTCCTGCCTCAGCCTCCTGAGTAGCTGGGATTACAGGCACACACCACCATGCCTAGCTAATTTTTTGTATTTTTAGTAGAGACGGGGTTTCACCATGTTGACCAGGATGGTCTCGATCTCTTAACCTCGTGATCCACCCGCCTCGGCCTCCCAAAGTGCTGGGATTACAGGCTTGAGCCACCGCGCCCGGCCTTTTTTTTTTTTTTTTTAAAGATAGGGTTTCACCACATTGGTCAGGCTGGTCTTGAACTCCCGACCTCAGGTGATCTGCCCGCCTTGGCCTCTAAAGTGCTTGGATTACAGGTGTGAGCCACCACGCCCGGCCCCCCATGTCTCTTTAACTTTTTCTTTGGTACTTTTCATTTCTTTGGTACTACATTTTAGGTAATTATTTGATTCTCTTTCCCACCTTATAATTTATTCTTCAGTTCTGTCTATTCTGACACCACCAATCAGGTTTTGTTTTCCATTTCCTAGATTTCTCATTGCTTCTTTTCATAACCACCTGTTCTTGATTCTTACTTACTGTTGACTTCTGTGTTGTTCTGAGGATTTTAAATGTATTTTAAAATTCTTGTTTTGATTGCTCTATCACACCTTTCCCTCAGTTTTTGAGTCCTTGTTTCATTTTATTTATGACCTTTCTTATGATATTAGTGTTCCTCAACTACTTAGTGATTCCTGGTCGTGTCTTGAGGATTTCCCAGATGTCTGATGACTTCCTGCCATAGCCCAGCTGCTGCACCTTCCCAGCTGCTGTACCTTCCCAGCTGCTGCACCTTCCCCGCTGCTGCACCTTCCCATCTACTTTCCTTCTTCCTTTTCATAATATCTAAAGGTTTAGTGTAGGGAAGGGAAAATTTCAGGATATTCTTAATTCACTGTCTTAAAATTCATCTCACAACAATTTATGCTTTTGTATTTTGAGTGATAACTCATCTTTTTTTTAATTATACTTGTTTACATAAGTTTGCCATGTGGAGCTCTGAATTTATGAGGCTAAGAATTGGATCTGATTCATAACTAGCATCCAGTAGTCTTTCTCAGGTGGTAAATAGTGGGTTGAATTGAACCTCCTGGCTTGTGCCTGCTGTCTAGCTGGGGCTGTTGGCTCCGGCAAAATGCAGATAGCCTATTGTGTGCTCCAGAAGGAATCTGGACAAGAAGCAGCTCTGAAAGGTGGAAGAAACCAGATACCCTGGGCGTTTCTTTCCCGTTAGACTCCAGCACACCCTGCCAGTCATACTGAGTTTTTATGCAGTTGAGTTTGCTGTCAGCTCTAAAGTTGTAAATCTCTAAACATGATTCTCCTTGGTGAGAAAATCCAGATTCCTATTGCCTGGGAATTAGAAATGCATAGAGAAATGGGAGGCACACTGGAACCAAATGCTCCAGTCAAACACATGGATAATCAGTCCCTAATATCGCTCAACTTGACTGTAACTCTTATGCCATAGATTATTGAATGTCTGAAAGAAAACAAGAAGCAACTCAGTACCCGCTGCCACCAGAAAGTATTTAAGCTACAGGAGACAGAGATGATGGACCCAGAGCTAGACTACACCCTCATGAGGGTCTGCAAGCAGATGATAAAGGTGAGGGGCCGACACCAAAGGCCGGGCATGGGGGAACAACAAAACAGCAAAGCACAAATAACCACAGCAACTTCCTCAGTCCCAGCTTTCTCTCAGCATGGTTCCTAGACCAGTAGCAGTGGCCGCAGCACCCCTGGGAACCTGCAGATTCCTGGGCCCTTTCCAGATCTGCTGAATTAGAAGCTCCGGGAGTAGAGCACAAAGCTTGTCTTAATAGCCTCCCCAGGGGATTCTGATGCAGGCTCAAGTTTGGAAACCACAGAGCTGAGAAAACTGACCTTGCCTTGACCGGAGGCACAAGTAAATAGACGTGCAATAAGTAAATGATTGGTTTTGAGGACAACTCATGGTAGCTAAACTGAGAAAGTGACCATCTAATGTTCTGATCATCCATCTGCCACACTCAGAAGATTTTTCTGTTCTACAGATTGTTTTGCTTCATTCCCTCCTTCACCAGATGTTCTCGGCATCAGGGCTGAGCCGAGTACCTAGATGTCAGTTCCTTGATCTAGCCACACACGTAAGGAGATTCAGCTCAAGGTTCAGATGGGCAAGGTCACGCCTATAATCTCAGCACTTTGGGAGGCCAAGGCGGGAGAATCACCTGAGCTCAGGAGTTAGAGAGCAGCCTGGCCAACATGGCGAAACCCTGTCTCAACCGAAAATACAAAAATTAGCCTGGTGTGGTGGGGCGCGCCTGTAGTCCCAGCTACTCAGGAGGCTGAGACAGGAGAATCGTTCGAACCCCAGAGGCGGAAGCTGAGGCTGCGGCTGCAGTGAGCTGAGATCGCCCCGCTGCACGCCAGCCTGAGCAACAGAGCAACATTCTGTCTCAAGAAAAAAAATTTTTTAATTTAAACTCAAGGTTCTAGCTCCTTTATTTCAGCTTTCCTTTAAATTAAAATGCTACTTTTTACACTATCAAATAAATTCCAGAGATAATTTGTAATTTACAATGTAAATCTTTTTAACTGGCCTGTTGAAATTGAGTCATATGGAAATGTCAGGCTCTGATCTGAGAGAGCTTTGTAACATTTTCTAAAAGTCAGTGAGCAATCCCTGTCCCCGTTAACAAGATGTCAGCAGATTATAATCACATGCTTTAGAGAACTAGAAACAGAACCGGGAAGAGAGGCTCAATGCTCAAGTGTCTCAACTAGGGTGTATCAGACACTGTGACACTTGAAGACTCGTGGATTTGCAGAACAGAGATGGAATTTATTACAGTCCAAAACTAATCCCTGATTTAAAGGACAGCAGTAAGTATACAGGGCCCTAGTTCTTTACTGCTTGGTAGGATTATAGCCCTTTAGTTAAGATGAACCAGTGAGTCCTTAACCCCACATCCTTATTCATATTGGTTAGTGGACAATTCCTAGGTTTTCCCACAGGACTTGGGTAGATAGGGCTTGAGGGCTACACAGCCACCTGGTACAGTGTTACATTCACGCCTAAACAATAAGTAGGTTCCTGAGATGCCATTTAACTTAACATCGCTTTCTAGATAGGAAACCAGTCCCATGCCAAAGTAAGAACCAGAGAGGTAGTAAAAAGAAATGTGACAAATACAGTAGAGAGTAAGAACGGGAAAGTTGGGGTGGGATGCTTGTTCAGGCTTAGCTGCTGCTCTTGTACCATGTGATGCCTTTAGGCTGCTGCTTTCATCAGCTTTCTGATAGACGTTAAGGGTGATCACAGGCTAGTCCAAGTGCAGTGGTGTTTACAACTAATTGATCACAGCCAGTTACAGATTTATTTGTTCCTTCTACACCCATGTTGCTTTACTTGATCAGCCTTTAAAAAAAAAAAAGTGGCAAGGAAATGGTGGCTCACGCCTATATCCCAGCACTTTGGGTAGCAGAGGCAGGCAGATCACCTGAAGTCAATAGTTCAAGACCAGCCTGGCCAATATGGTAAAACCTCATCTCTACTAAAAAAAAAAAAATAGAAAAATTAGCTGGGCATGGTGACGCACACCTGTAATCCCAGCTACTCAGGAGGCTGAGGCAGGAGAATCACCTGAACCCAGGAGGTGGAGGTTTCAGTGAGCCAAGATCATGCCACTGCACTCCAGCCTGGGTGACAGAGCAAGGCTACGTCCCCCAACCCAAAAAAAATTTCTAAAAAAAAAGTGGTCGCGGATGGAGTTAATTGCCATATTTGGATAGCTATTTTTATAAAACTATTTTTTTGCAGAGGTTCTGTCCAGAAGCAGATTCTAAAACCATGTTGCAGTGCTTGAAGCAAAATAAAAACAGTGAATTGATGGATCCGAAATGCAAACAAATGATAACCAAGCGCCAAATCACCCAGAACACAGGTAAGATCTTGGCTTGGCTCCCCTGGTCCCATTGAGTATCTTTTTTTTTTTTTTTTTTTTTTTTTTTTTGACAAAGTTTGGTTCGCTTTTGTTACCCAGGCTGGAGTGCAATGGCACGATCTCGGCTCACCGCAACCTCCGCCTCCTGGGTTCAGGCAATTCTCCTGCCTCAGCCTCCTGAGTAGCTGGGATTACAGGCACGCGCCACCATGCCCAGCTAATTTTTTGTATTTTTAGTAGAGACGGGGTTTCACCGTGTTGACCAGGATGGTCTCGATCTGTTGACCTCGTGATCCACCCGCCTCGGCCTCCCAAAGTGCTGGGATTACAGGCGTGAGCCACCGCGCCCGGCCTCCCATTGGGTATCTTAAAAGGAATTCAGGCCGGGCGCGGTGGCTCAAGCCTGTAATCCCAGCACTTTGGGAGGCCGAGGCGGGTGGATCACGAGGTCAAGAGATCGAGACCATCCTGGTCAACACGGTGAAACCCCGTCTCTACTAAAACTACAAAACATTAGCTGGGCATGGTGGCACGTGCCTGTAATCCCAGCTACTCAGGAGGCTGAGGCAGGAGAATTGCCTGAACCCAGGAGGCGGAGGTTGCGGTGAGCCGAGATCGCACCATTGCACTCCAGCCTGGGTAACACGAGTGAAACTCCGTCTCAAAAAAAAAAAAAGGAATTCAGTGGCTGTAGCGTGACCTGATCAAACTCCTGGGAATTTGAAGGGAGGAGTCAGTGTAAGCAGGAGACTTCCTTTTCTGAGGAGCATCCAGAAAAACAGAGGGAGAGTCAGGGGAGAGAGGAGGCCAGAAGAAACAGAAAACTGCCCTTCAGGAACGTTCAGAAGAAATCAGGGCCAGCATTCCTTGGAAAGAGAAATCCAGAAATTCAATAAAACTTGATGAGTGTGGCAGCAGAATATATGGGTAACCTAGTTCGGAACAGAGACATTTCAACTCTGGGTTGGAATACCTCGTAACTTCATGGGCACAGTGAGTTGGATATTGTATTTCCTTCTCTGTGTTCTCAAAAATATCTGTTACGGGGAAAGTTGCTGATGTCTGCTTGATTTTTCTGAGGACTCCTTAGACTGTTGGAATCCCCATAAAACCCCTCAGAGTAGAAAGATTCCTGAGGACCTCCAGAAGTACTCATTAACTAAATCATATTGTGATTAAAAACAGTGTAGTGAGAGCTCAGTAAATGTTTATTGAATAGACAAATTCATGGTTGTAGTCATGGTCATTGGCATAATATGCTCCCTTTAGGAAGGTGGATATTTAAAAATGTGTGAATCCAGGTGGAATGTTTGTCACACACTCACTGCTTTCTGTTCTAGATTACCGCTTAAACCCCATGCTAAGAAAAGCCTGTAAAGCTGACATTCCTAAATTCTGTCACGGTATCCTGACTAAAGCCAAGGATGATTCAGAATTAGAAGGACAAGTCATCTCCTGCCTCAAGCTGAGATATGCTGACCAGGTAAACTGGCCTGGGCTCTCTACAAAGGTATATTTATGGAGCCTCTATCCCTGGGAATTTTCTCTTTTGAAATCCCTAGCTTGTTCTGGTTTTCCAGAAACCTTTTTCATATCTTCCCCAAGCCGGGGGGACTAAGGGCCAAGAACAAAAGCAGATGTTTTGTTTTTTTTCGTTCTTCTTATTTATTTTTTTTTTGTGTGTCCTGCTTTTGCGTTTTCTGATCAGCCGATGTATCCTTTGTCACATGCAGCGCCTGTCGTCAGACTGCGAAGACCAGATCCGGATCATTATCCAGGAGTCCGCCCTGGACTACCGCCTGGATCCTCAGCTGCAGCTGCACTGCTCAGACGAGGTGGGATTTGCTGCAAAGTTGGTTGTACACGGAGCCGCTCAGAGAAGTTTTCACTGGAGAAAAGTTGTTTACTTTCTCTCCCTTCAGTCCTAAATAATCTGTGGTGAATTGAAGGCCATTTTCTAGGCTCTCCATGGTCTGCGTTCCTGTCCTCTATAACACTGAATTAGATTTGGTATTAGTCCTGACATTGTACAGCATTAGTTGCATATTTCTCTGTTGAACGAGGGTATTCTTTCGTTATAGCTCTCCTTGTAAATTTGTTCTCCCCTTTTCCTTATTCTGTATGGTCAACTGAGAATACCCCGAGACTTCCCAGAAAGATAAAAGTACTTCCAGCTGGGCACAGTGGCTTATGCCTATAATCCTGCACTTTGAGAGACTGAGATGGGCAGATCACTTCAGGTCAGGAGTTTGAGAACAGCCTGGCCAATATGGTGAAACTTCATGTCTACTAAAAATACAAAATTAGACTGGCATGGTGGTACACACCTTTAATACTAGCTTCTTGGGAAACTGAGGCAGGAAAACCACTTGAACCCAGGAGATGGAGGTTACAGTGAGCTGAGATGACACCACTGCACCCCAGCAACAGAGCAAGACTCTGTCTCAAAAAAAATAAGTAAATAAAAAGGTACTTCTATAATGACTGTAAGGAAGTGCCCATCTTTGGAAAAATGGACTTCTTAGCTAGAAGAAAAAGGCCGTGTGTACAGCCCTGTTCAACATATGTCAGTTTCAGGAGCTCATAGCAAAAGCTGTTACAAAAAAGCTTGCTCATAAAACTGTCCAAAAAAAGGTAAGGTTTTTGACCCGCGCAGTGGCTCACACCTGTAATCCCAGCACGTTGGGATGCCAAGGCGGATGGATCATGAGGTCAGGAGATTGAGACCTTCCTGGCCATAGTGAAACCCCGTCTCTACTAAAATACAAAAACTTAGCCAGGTGTGGTGACACTGCACGCCAGTCTAGCAACAGAGCAAGACTCTGTCTCAAAAAAAAAAAAAAAAAAAAAAGAGCTAAGGTTTTTGTCTTTTCTGTGGGCTATGGGCTGTGCTTCTCAACCCCTGTGTAAGTGGGTGTGTGCATGTGCACACTTTCTCGAGTTGTGAATCTGGGTTAACACCCTGAACCTGTGTGAATGTCATGTGTTTGCTTTTCATATTTTTTTTTTTTTTTTTTTTGGGGACGGAGTTTCACTCTTGTTACCCAGGCTGGAGTGCAATGGCGTGATCTCGGCTCACCGCAACCTCCGCTCCCGGGTTCAGGCAATTTTCCTGCCCCAACCTCCTGAGTAGCTGGGATTACAGGCACGCGCCACCATGCCCAGCTAATGTTTTGTATTTTTAGTAGAGATGGGGTTTCACCATGTTGACCATCGATCTCTTGACCTCGTGATCCACCCGCGTCGGCCTCCCAAAGTGCTGGGATTACAGGCTTGAGCCACCGCGCCCGGCGCTGCTTTTCATATTTTATTTGGTTATATAACCTTGCTTCTATGGAATCAAGTAGCAGCCTTCTTTTTGACAAGTCCTGAGATCTGACTCGTCTCAGTGTTGACAGCGTAGATACAACATTTATGCATTTTCCATTCGGTGTGCCAGTCCTTGTGAAGAATGAAGCCTGGTATCCAATACAGGAGGAGGGGCATGAAACCCCCGAGAAGCTGTTTGAGATGAGGTCTGGCACAGGTGTGGGAGGATCATCAAACTGACATGTTTTAGAGACCAAGGGTTCTGGTGATAGCAGTACTACCACCCCGGCTTGTAAAACAGCAGTGGACCACTAAGGAGGGGGCACAGATTCCTCAGTGTCCAGTGCTGATTGGAATCACTGGACCCATCTGCTTTTGAGACTGTCGGTTCAGGCTGGGTGTGGTGGCTCACATCTGTAATCCCAGCACTTCGGAAGGCCAAGGCGGGAGGATCACCTAAGGTCAGGAGTTTGAGACCAGCCTGGCCAACATGGCAAATCCCCATCTCTACTAAAAATAAAAAAGTCTGTCAGGTGTGGTGGCACACGCCTGTAGTCCCAGCTGCTTGGGAGGCTGAGGGAGGAGAATCACTTGAACCTGAGAGGCAGAGGTTGCACTGAGCCCAGGTCGTACCACTGCACTCCAGCCTGGGCAAGAGAGCTTGACTCTGTCTCAAAAAACAAAACAAAAAAAACCTGTTGGTTCATTTCTGTGCTCAATGGGGTGGCCTTGTGTTTTGTGTCTCCTGAACAGATCTCTAGTCTTTGTGCTGAAGAAGCAGCAGCCCAAGAGCAGACAGGTCAGGTGGAGGAGTGCCTTAAGGTCAACCTGCTCAAGATCAAAACAGAATTGTGTAAAAAGGTAACCACCGTCACCTTGTTTTCCTCACTACGTTTTCTTTTTTTCTTGTTCTTCTTCTTCTTCCTTTTAATACTGTAGTCTGCCTACTTTGGTAATAAAACCAAAAATCTAAACCTTCTGCCCACCACTATTTTCTTGATGTTCCTTCTTTTTTTTTTTTTTTTTTTTTTTTTTT